TCTACGCAGCCTCATGTAATTTTTTCTTTTACATTATCTTGATTTTTTATTATGCAAATCGACTTTCATTTATAATTGAAAAGTGTCAGCCATGTCAAAATTTATATGAATCTAATAAAAATTCAATTTTCAAAAAATTGTAAAAATGGGCTTATAACGTCGAGTATTAAAGACTATGTACTGTACGTAGTATGTATATTTGGGTTTTGGACGTAGATTATAACTATTCGAAGTTAGTTGCTTTGTAGTTAAATTAGTTATGGCCTCAATTTTGCTTCGATTTTTGCATTTTTTTTGAACAACTCCAGGGCATAGGATCGATTTTCCATTCATGTGGTTTTCGAGATTAATTGGCCAATTATTGTGCTTTGCAAAAAGGTAGATCAAAATGTCGCGTGAGAATCGGAGATTCTATAGATTTTAAGAATTTTACTGATTTCAAAAAATATAAACGTAATCTCAGAAATTTTCTCCATAAAACTCATGTAGCCACATCTTTATTTGATGTAATGTAAAAAATTTCAAAAGAAAATATTAATTGGCCCAATGGATTGCGAAATATCACAGTACAAACTACGTAATTTTACCTATGAAGCATTTAATAGCTGATAATCGTTGAAATACTGGTCGTCGAAATTTATTTGCACGTCAAAATGTAGTCAATAAAAATTTGTAGGAACGTTAATTTAGAATTAATGTATTATATCGTTATAGATGCTTAACAAATAATTTTATCACAATCTTTTTTCACATACTCAATTCTAAAATAATGGGCTGAATTTTCAGTTCAAAAAGTCATTAAATTAATTATCGTTATTTAAAAAAAAAAACACTTTGGAACGATGATTTTCTGCTGCGATTAAGATCAAATTCTACTAAAAGTCAATATATAATATACAAGCGTATAAATGTAATGTTTAACGAGTTTAAAATTAACTCTAGAAATTTTATTAAAATCTAAGCTTAAAATTATATGCATAATCTCGCGCAACAATTAAACTCGATACTATTCATGATTGCTAATGCTTTGGATTGCTATTTAGGATCAACAATGTTACCAATAATCGATAATAGAATATGGTGCAATTCTAACATTTTTATTCTTTTTCTTTTCATTCTGCCATTTATTTAGCCAGTAATCCATATCTTTCCGACTTTCTGCAGATCTGAAATAAAAAAAAAAACATGAATACAACCAATTTCGGTGCGGCTCACTTCACCAACAATCATTTCACCGACATCACGCAACGTGACAATTTAGCATTTTATTAGTTGTAGTATATATTGTTGGTAAATTATCATGTAGGATGATGTCGGCTAAACGGGCCTATCAGTAAAATGACTGTCGGTGAAGATGAATAAATCTGTCAAAGTTTAATCTTTAAGTGACGTACTCAATGTTTACTGTTGGTATAATTCGACCTATATTCAAGGACATAATGAATGCTGCAAGCTCACGGAAACTGGAATGTTCAGAGTAGGGAACACTAAATATTTGACACGTTGGAGAGTTATATGATGGATATATCAAGTCCATAGTGTAAGAAGATGCTCTCTTCAATATTTCCTCAGTTGTAGATGATGTCGAAAATGTTCCACAAACAGAGGGTTTATAAGCCCAACCAGTTGGTCGGAATGCCATAACATGTTTAAACGTTGGTTGTAAATTTTGGAGATAATATATTAATTCCTATACAAATGTTTTCATACAATAAATTTTTGTGAACGTTAAATACTTATATATATATATATATATGTGAGTAGGTTATAATTATAATTAATATAATTATAATTAATATACCTCTGCTTTTATTTTCGCCAAACACATAACATGTACAGAAGCTTCTTGAGGGTTGCTTGTTAAAAGCGCTTCCAACTCAGGGTTCTCTTGACACATAATCACTTTTCGTTTGGCATCTGACACGTAAATTTTAGAGTTTAGCGCTTTCGCGACACCTATAAAAAAACGATTATGATATTCATTACTTTGAGTTTTTTCGTTATAATTCGATAAATGTTAGTCAACTCACCCCAGAAGACCTTCTCTTTACCGATCAAATAAGTGCCAACGACGATCAGAATTTTACTATCTTGCAAGCCAACACATTTCTGTTCAGTTTCATCGATATTCATACTAGCAGTGGATAAATTTGTGTCTAAAATCTCTATAGAATCTTCTTGGTTTAAATCTGAATCTGGATTTATCGACGCTTCTTTTGACTTTCCTTTGAACCATTGATCCAATACCATCTGCGATTTATCCTCTTGCTCTTTTATAGTCTTCGTGCGTTTCAAAGGAAGTAATCCACCATTCTTGATAGCTTCTTTGATCAATAATATGATAGCATTAACAACTTGTTCTTGAGCTGGAAAGCAATATCGTCCATTCAAATAAGTAGTGTCAAGATATAAAATATCTATTGGCGGATTATCAGGTTGTGCTATCGCTGAATGAAGCACTTGACGTGGACATGCCCGAAAATCACCAGTATGAAGGTATCGCTTAATTTTACCATCAGCAAATTTTGTTTTGAATAAAAATAATACAGATCCCGGGCAACTGTGTATAAGTTTTATATAAGTGATATGATGTGAAAATGTAATAATTGTTAAGCGTCGATAAAATATTCAAACTTACTGGTTTGCATCAATCAATGTGACTGTAGTATCAGTCTTATCAATGGCAACCTCTTCGTTCATGGGCAATTTTCGAATATATTGAGGGTTAACACGTAATTGTTGAATAACTAAATTACCAGTTACCGTTGAACAATATATAGGTCCATGTGACCATTTTGAGGATAACCCAACATAATGGTCGGAGTGGAAGTGACTAATATATGGCAGAATCGATAGTAATATAAATTTATTGGAAGTAAAAGCCATTTGCTTATCGTTAGATGAATACTAATTTGTACCTCAGGAAGTAGGCGGTACAATTCGGGATACTTCCATACTTGAACGCGTCAACTGTTATGTTCGTATCTGAAAGTGATGAAAGTTAAAACACAAATCATGAAAATGAATTATCCAATTCACTTAATTACCCTGTAATCTCTTGTACCACGGGCATTCTTTCTTCGAACTCGGTCTTACAAGGTCCTGGGTACTTTCATCTTTATAGGGAGTTTCATCCTTACACTGGCTGTCATCATCATCAAAGATATTTTTTCCATTATCGTTATCACACGGAGTATTTGAATCACTTTTGTTATTAGAGTCAACAATTTCCAATTTAAGAGTGGTTGTTGGATCAGATGAATTCCAATATTTGGACGTTATTATGTTGATTGCTTCATTTTCTAATTTTTCTTTTAGAGTACCTTTCATGAAATGCTATTCAGCCAATTTAATTTATCTGAATTTTATTCAATTATTTTACATATGTAAAGTTTATTAGCTACCTTTTCTGATATTTGGACTGCCGTTCGATTCCTTTTTACGACCAAAAAAATCAAATAGCGTCGTTGAACTAATGGTGTTGCTCTTTTTTGAGAAATTATTTGTTTTACGATCCTTTGTAGGCGAACCACCAATGTTATTAGCAGAATTTAACGTGTTTATTTTTGGCTGCTCTAATACCCGTCTTTGTAAAGCGTTAGTTTTATTTGGAGAAGCCGGTAACGATGAAGCCTTATATTTTTTTCCTATATTTTTATTGACTATGTTTGGGGATTCTCGTTTGACTGGAGTGCTAGTTATGCTATAACTTTCGGTAGAACTACTTTTAGTTGTAAGCTCTGAAAGTCGTTCAATAGTTCTAGCATTCCAAATGTCTTTATCCGAATCTTTAACCATATTTTTTAAGTATAAAAGAAATCGTTTAATCATTCACAATTCATTTAGGATTTTTATTTTATAGATCTGCAATAGTTCGCGTTTTTAGTGATTGATTTATACTTTCGCGTATTACTGATAAACGTTACACAGCATTACAACGTAATTTATTTTGCGAGACTCAATCTCCGCAAATGAAATTAAGATTATAATAAAAATGTATGCGCCTCTATTTGAAAGAATTCTAGTAAAACCTTTGTATTTTGCACGTCAATCATATATCCTTTTTGTTCTTTACTTTCTCCCAGTGTTCACTGATTTTCGATTCTTTAAACTTCTTATTAGCACCAATGGAATATAATAAGGTCCCAATAAATACTAAAAAGCCTCCGATTATAACCCCATAGCGAAGCTCATTATCAAAAAACCACATTGAAATAACAAGAGATGTAAATTTTCGAATATTCAAAACAAGATTTAACGTTAACGCACTGACTACGGAATGCAGTTTATGAACTCCCGAAATGCACACATACCTAAATGTTTGTAAAAAAAAATATATATATATATAAATGTTATAGTAAGTTTTAAAAAAAATCTATAATATTTGGAAGGCTTACTGTGTAAGAACATTTATGATTAGATAAGTCCATGCTCTTGGGAAAGTACAGCAAGATGAAATACTTTGGAATCCATCAGGAATAGATAATATCTTGCTCAGTGGCGTCACCGTAGATTCATTGTAAACTTGTACTTGGCCCTTCATATCAGAATAAAACAATAAAAAGAATGGTAATGCCAGAAAATGCTATCGAACAATAATTGAATTAGGTCGACTGATTAATTAATTTTACGAGTGACAGAATTGAAGAAAACAAATGAAGCTAACCGTGTAGAATAGTCCTTCACGCCAATCACTTTTATATTTTTCATATGTAAGCTCTTGATATAAACCCATAAAACATGATAGTACTAATGTGATTGAAAGTAGTGAGATACCAATCACGAATTCCGGTGTGCCAACAGTGGTAATCTCCTAATGTTAGAAATATTGAATTAATTTTCCCTATAAATTTTAGGTTAATGCGTAGTTCTTCTTGTATCATTTAATACTAATTATTGTTTAGTACCTCCGTACCGACGTCAGATGAACTAATAGTTGCAAGAATGACACCAAGAGTGACCAACACAACTGCGATAACTTGTTCTATTGAATATCTTAAAGTAATAGACAAAAAAAGGATTAGGCCATATATATATGCATATATATGGAAGTGACAATATTTCACACCTTCTATTTCTTATTGTCCAACCCAATATCATACTGACAATTAGTCCACCACTACGAAAAATAATGTGTAAAGGTACGGATATCTTATATCCGAATGCTACATTATTCAACACTGACACCGTAAAAAACATAACCACCTGCCAAAACCAGCGATATAATGGAACTCCCCGTTTCCTAAGTTGTGGGATGGACGAAGAAAAATCAAGATTGTAAAGCAGGCCTTCACCGGCAATGAACAAGAATTGCGCAAAAGTAAACAGGTTTCCTAGAAAATGAAACGGGACCCTTATGATTATACAACATATATAGATATGATCAAAAAAATCATTGTGCATACCACTTTTTGGAGCATCTCTGATGAAAAAAAGTGAGATAGTTAGTTTATATTTTACACTGGATAAATAAATTAGAATGATAGATGTTCCGAGCAATTACTAACGCAACTAATCTTTCTAATGCAATGACGTTTGTACAGCAGCCACCAAAGATTAAGGCTACGATCGTGAAAATATCACTCCATGATGCATGACTCTTGCCATGCTGTTCAGTCGGCATTGTTTTTGTCTTTTAAAGACGTTCAGAAACCGATTTAATATACTGTATAATGACAAACGATCATTGTAATTTGATTGGTCGATTAAATCTGTAAATAGCCTAGGTAAATTTAAATAATAAACATTATTTTTTCTAATATATCATCCAATAGAAATCCTCCACGCATAATATTAGTTATATATTATAACATATATTATATTTTATAATTAAAAAACTTTATTTTAAAATAATAATAGAATTGTTGTTTAATAATTATAAAATTATTTTGTTATAAGATTATTACATATAAATGATTTGATTATTTTATATAATTTTAATAATTTTATTATAATCTTTGATAAGATTATAATAAATCAATAAAAAAAAAAATTTGCTAGTTTCTATAAAGTAGTCTCTTATTTCAGTTCTATCGTAATATGAGCGCCGCCTAATTTCTATAAAGTAGTCTCTTATTTTAGATCTATTGTAATATGAGTGCCGCCTAAATGCTAATCAGTGACATACAGTACCAGATACTGTATAATGCGTAATTGAAAGCATATACACTTGATTCCAATAAATAAATGCGTTATTGAAAGCATGTACACTTGATTCCAATAATTAATAATAATGAATTTTATTTTGTCAGCACTGATATTAACTTTAAAGCAAACTTGAACTAGACTAAAAGAACCCCATTTATAGTGTTTCGATTTGGATTAAAAAACTCGAAACCGATCTGGATTCGAAATTTTGGTTTGGATCTGGGTTGATCCGAATTTTACATGATAGAATTTATATCATAGTGAAAGAGAAATTTCCGAATCAGGCTTAATTGGATCAATCCGATTTTTTGGCCCAAACACATAATCATCCTAGCATAACCACAGATCATTATGATTATTAGCTAAATTAAAAGATACAATCAAAAGCGCCATATATAATACGGAGTCTTTGTAGCAGAAAGAGTCCAAAAAAATGTGATTTTTAGATAATCAAGTTTATTGTGTTTAGACTAATCTGAAAATCAGGAACCGGCCAATATTTGGATAACAATCGCATTTTTTTTTTTAATATATATTATTAAAGTGAGGCTATGCTAGAGTTTGGAACCGGGTTTATTTTTCATATGTAAAAACCGATTAAAACCGGTTTTAACATATGAAAAATAAACCGGTTCCAAACTCTAGGCCATGCTTCTATATCGAAACTCAATTTTTTTACAAAGAAAATATACATGAAAAAAATTACACTTGAGCTTCTTATCCAAATTAAGAACAGACTCAGACTATGAAACAATCGCAAAAATTTATTTTGATAACAATGCAATTTTTTGGATATAAATTTTTTTATTAAAGTAGATCATACTTACAGTATTAAGCAGTTACATAGGCTTTATCATCATAATTAACACAAAGTGACATATTGGAACTTTTTACAGCAAAAGAAGGGGATTTGCCAAAAAACTAGATTTTTTTAATTTTATTCTAACGGATATAATTCTTCACGATATTGATTTTTTTAAAAGATTTTTTTGGCCCATCCCCTTCTTTTGCTGTGGGGGCCATGGAATCTACTACAAAGTCTTAAAAAAAGTTTTAGGCATGCAAAAACCATCACCTTTTTTGTTGGTGGCATTTTTTTAAAAAAATAATTGGATTACATTTGTTAGTTTTGATTGTTTTACTGATTTGTTCGTATATTTTATTTTGCGTTTCGGTCAGTACCTTCCTTAGCTGCTTCCTCTCTTTAAAATTCTGTATTCAAAATCCTAACCAATCATATTAAAAATTTGGTTCCTGATTCAGATACTATAGGACTACACATGTACGCATATCTTTGGTTGAAGACGGAAATATGATACTTTCAAACATCTTCGCTGGCAAATAAAAAAAGATTTAGAAGGTTTATCGTTTAAAAAATTGTCAAATCGGGTTTTTTCAAGCACTTTCAATGATATGGATACCATCGCTTTTAAAAAAACTATGTTTATTAAACACGAACGATATAAAACATGGTTAACTTTTTAGCATTAGCACCTATTTGTGTAATATGTTATAAAAATTTATTTTAAATTAGGAATCGCTTTTATATTTCCTGTTAAGATTTATTAGTTGACAAGAACACACATACTAAACACATCAAACATAGACAAGCATTCAAACAAAAAAATTTGATAACATTGATATTATTGTTATAACGATCTGTCAAATAATCATTAAATAATACAAAAAATAACTTTTATTATATCAGCCGAAAAATCATTCGAAAACAGCTGTAAATAATGTGCCAGCTTGAGCCAACTTACTTGAGCCGGCTTGAGCCAATCGACTTGAGCAAATTTACTTGAGCCGGCTTGAGCCATCAGCTCGAGCCGGCTCGGCTTGGCTTTCTGAGCTGGCTCAAGCCGATCCCATCTCCAATCTTCGCCTAGCAAGTTGTCGGCGATTGAGTCGCTGACTCTTTTCAACATCACTTTCACGTTTCACCTGAACACTTTCTTCTGAAACAATAATTTCGATGTGACATGGGCTGCTCATGTATGGATTGATACGCTATTTCAATCGCAATTAATATATGTCGATATTAATGAAATTTTTAATTCTCATTAAATAAAAAATTAATGGCAAAAATTACTAACACCATGAGCACGATAAGTTCTTCGTCTCTGTTTTGGAGCTTGGTTGACTTGAATATGGGAGATTACTAAATTGTCAACATCCAATCGCTTGAGCTAAAATCGGGAAATAAGAAATTTATATGTTATATAGAAAATATCATTTACTTATTTATAAATTTGTAATTTTACCTCGGCATTACTCCGGGCATTTTTTAGAAGCCCTAATAAAAAGTTTGCGCTTTTAACAGGCCAACGTCCTATTTAAAAAAAATCGGGATATAATTAATAAGTTTTTTTTTGTAATATTATAATTTATCCATCCATCAACTAGTACTATTAAGCAGATGATTAATCCATTTTTAAGTTCACATTTATTGACTTCGAATAACGAGAAAGTGAGCAAAAAAATCAGAGAATTCAACGTAAAATGACCAACTGAACCTTGTGTAGCACCAAAAGCTTTAGCTTGAGCGCAACGACCAACACCACCATTAAAGCGTCGGAAAGGCACTGCTTGTTTATGCTCCTTCACATCTTCTAGGTACTTAATAGCCTTATTAAGCTTTTTGCCAGAGATCGCCATGGCAGTTTCGCGCGTATTTTTAAAATGAACACGTAGATATGATCCACGAGTCTTGGCAGCTATTTTTCGAGATCAGAATGTCAGCAGTTTCATGCTCAAATAAGCAAATAGGTTGATATTTAAACAAGCTCACACTTGGAGGAGTCGGCCGGCTTAGCAGAATATCTGGTCATGTTCTGTAGTTATTAGAAGGACCTAAGATAACGAACTTTATCAAAAAAAATTTTTTCAATAGATCAAAAGGCAGAGATTCAATTTTACTGGCTGCATCTCAGGAGGGACTTTTTGAAGAACTAATATAATTTTAAATTTTATTAATAAAT